AATGAAAGTGAGGCAAGTGGAACAATAAAGGTGTAAAGATTAGAGGTAGGAAATGTGGATTAGTTCTGCCGTGGGTCAACCATCCAGGGTAATAAAAAGTCCACAAGGGAGGTGAAGAACATGGGAAGGATGGAGATGAGCATCAGGGGTGATTTGTGACAGAAGAATAGAAGGAAAGGTTCATTAATCGGTAGTGACACCTGTTATGAAGTACAGTATGGTCTAGAGGCAGTTGTACAGACAAAAGGCTAAGGTAGGATTGAACCTGTGCTGTCTCCCTTTTACGTAAATCCCAACCAACAACACAACTCATTTGTGCTAACACAGTCCTAAAGGACATTGGTTTTACGTTCAATGTCCCACATATGTTGTAACATCAAATGTGGGTCCACATCACCCTCTTTTTGTTTTAAAAATAAATATTATAATGGTGAAAATTATATTTCATATTTTTAGATTTATAATCTGATATGAACCATAACACATGTTCAGGAGTCAAACAATGTCCATACAAGGGAATTCCCCTAAAATATGACCTTTTGCTGAATTATGTATACGGAGTATCTTTTATCAAATACTGTATTTTGTGTACCAAGTATAGCTACATAGTTACATAAGACCACTACTTGGTAGTTCCAAGAATCACCGCGAAATGGAAAAAAACAAAATAAAGGTGAGATAGTTATAATATTTACATATATATTTACCCCTTACAAACCTCTCCCACACTGTTATCAACACTCCCTGGACTGTATTACCCTTTTGCACACAATTATATGCACAGTACACCGAGTACATCAACTAGCAAATAGAATGCTGTGTACGATCTTGTCTAGGTAAACAGAGCTACCAGCGATCGTTCGCAAATGGGCTTATCTCAATTTCAAAATGAGAATCCACATTAAATTAAAGCCAAAACATTCGTATGTAGTTTATTTTTTGCTATATTGCTAAAAAATATCCACGCTGTACTGAAAATTATTCTAAGATTAATTAGAGGATAATTTAAGGATAATTATAGCTATTTATTTGCTGCTACTGAACTGTTATATAACTGACTGACTAAAACACACACCCAGACTCACTATGACTCATTTCCAATAAATCACAAAACCAATAGGTTGACAGATAAAAAGGAAGTAATCAAGATTAAACACCTGATCTTACCAGAGCTCATCTTAGAACAAGAAAATCCAATTTACTTTCGTTCTTAAATGAGGTCATGCCCAAAAAAAGTAAAAGTAAAAAAAAATGAAAAAGAACCATATAGCACCTGGGGAGGCGTGGCTGAGAGGTGCAGAGAGAGAGAAGTGAAGGGTGAGGAGAGAGTGAAGACGGCTGAGAGCGAGTGTGGACAAGGAACGAAAGAAGAGCCGTGATAGAGAGAGGGACCACTGTACCACCGTGTGTACCCTGTGACACTTGAACAGGGCCATTGCTATTTGTGATCTTATTAAGTTCTAACTTTTTAAAACTGTATCTTTCTTTGAAAAGAAACTCAGTTAGTTTTTGTTGTGAAGTTTATCGTAATGTGTTAATAAAATCTCTTGAAGTTTCCTGCTGGTTGTTTGTTAAGTTTTCATTTGTCATTCGTCGAGGCTATTTCATGAATAAATGGTAGAAAACGAAAGGTAAACTTAGTTCAGGTCAGGTTTGCAGGAAGTCTGACAAAAAATACAGTAAGTCATTGATTATGAACAAAGGAGTGTCAATCTGTTTTTGTCATAACATAACATAACATTCTAATAATAGCTTAAGAAGCTATTTATTTGTTGCTACTGAGCTGGTATATGAATATCCCTGACTAAAACACACACCCAGACTAATTTCCAAGAAATCACATGACCAAAAAGACAATGGGTTGACTTACAAGAAGGAAGTCTTTAAAATTAAAACTTTTTCTTACCGGAACTTCGAGTTCTTACCCGAGCTAACCTTAGGAAAAGAACATCCAATTTATCTGTCCTTAAATGAGGTCACACCCAAAAGTACAAAAGCCTAAACACCTAAAACACAAACAAAACAAAAAAACACCCTCACATTCCTAGAATAAAACATCAAAAAAATGTGGTGTTCACCCTTTTGGCCTGTTTAATCAAACAGACAAAACTAAAAATCAGGCAATTTAAAGGTTTTATAAAAGCACTTCTAAAAAAAAAAAAAAAAACATTTTATGGGGCAGTGGTGGCTTTGTGGTTAAGGAAGCGGACTTGGGTCTTGAAGGTTCGAGTCCACCAGTTGCCCAGTTACCACTGAGGTGCTCTGAGCATGGCATCGTCATCACCCGCTGCTTAAAGCTGCTTAAAGCTGCCCACTGTTCACTTTGGTGATGGGTTACATTTGGTTGTGTGTCACAGTGACATGTAGTTCACTTTCATATATATCTTTTTTTATAACTATCTCCTCTCAGAACAAGATTTTCCTGTTGTCTAGTTCATACATGCTTTGTCTAGTATGTAAAAAAAAAATCCAAGCTATAATTGTTTCTTTATGCATGACGTAATACAACGTATAAAAGTACTGACTCAGAAGAACCCGCTCATCCCTCAGCTTATGCAGAGCTGAATGAAGGTGTCTGTTGGGGCCAGAGCAAAGGTAATTATTTAAAAAAACATTTTCTATCATAATCCTGTATATTAATTTGATTTGTTATACTCAATTCAATTATATGACCTAAGAAGCTCTAAAGGCGTCTTCAGGTTCTGGAAAAGAAACTTCAAAAGCCTTAATATCTACATGCATTAAATGCATTATGATATGTCGCATAACCAGCAGAAAAACTCCTGCTTTGGTAAATCCTGTCTGCTGTTATTTTTTGTCAGGAGTCATTGACAACAAGGTACATGTTATAATCATGTAGAATTATCTGTTATTAACCACATGCACCCTGACATTCATTTCTTTGTCTTTGTTTTTGTCTGTATCTTTTCAGTGTCTTCTTGACCGCAGCCATGCTGGGCCTTTCTAAACAAGCCTCGCTCTACCTGAGTCTTCTTCTATTTCTGTCCCTCCAATCCTCAGTCCTCACCCTTACTGGGACCGCGAGCCAGTGCCAGTCTGCTCCCTTTGTACCAGGTTACAACCTGGCAGGAGAGGGCTTTAACATAGTCACTCTGCGCCGACAAGGAGCCTACGTGATTGATATGAGGACCCACCTCAACCCGAGTGGCACCTGTACACTTTACCACAACCCTCTTCAAGGCAACGCGCTGCAAAAAGTAATTTCAGTCTGATGAATACAATTAGCCCATTTAGCATTTAGCTGATGTTTGTGTTTAGGTTCAAGTCTTTGATGGCAGATGTAAATGTACCTGGCAACTGTACTCCTCTGCAGGAGCAGCTATGAATGAAGTTTAATTACCTGTTTCTGCCTCACTCTCCTTTAATGTGTTGTCAAATTCCCACACTCATCCATTCACAGCTATTGGTTCCAATGTCACAATGATATTGGAACCAATGACCTTCCCACAATCAACATTATGGATTAAGGAAATAAAATTGTATTGATTAAAAAGTGTTACGACTCCATTTGTTTCTTCTTTGTGATATCCAATGACTAACCAACTTTACTACATTGACTGCTGTTACCAGGTGCCACTCTCTGTGCATGACTGGAGATCCTTCAGTCGGTGCACTGCGTCTCTCTACGGGACCTACCACACCTCTACCAGGTAAATAACACATAATTACAAGCGCTTAAATCAATATTAGCATTTTAATTTTGTATATATTTTCACACTGCTGTTAATCATATACATTGTAACTCGCGTTGGATAAAAACATCTGCTAAATGTAATGTACCTGTAAGTCTATATAATAATTATATCGAATCCAATATTTGTCACTGGCATTGATTTTCACCTTAATTGGAAGTACACAGTTTGACACATGTTTATTTTATTTAATGACTTGTTTTTTACAGCACACTAATTGAAAGATACCCCAATCTAGACAGCCGTGACTGGAAGGTATGTTAACTCTTTATTACAAGTTTAGTAAAATATAGGGATGTCCGGTAAGATCGGCTGATGATATTATCTGACATCCCTAATAAAATATGTAAGTGATTCATTTATTGCTAATTATGCTTTGCCATGGAGTCTTCATGGTTAGAAGTGTGTCTATAAATAAATGTCACATGGTTTGTGTACCACATGGGGAGTGGGTGGTTACTGTTTTAAACAGTCAACCGTTGACTAATCTGATTCCTTAAGAGTTTGGGTTTTCTCCAAATACTCACATTACCTCAAAAGTACAAAAACACAGAAATGTGGATGTGATGGTTGTCTCTCTACGTAGTTTTGTAGTGGACTTTTGAGGGTGTAACCCTACTATGCTTCAAACCATGACGACCCTGACACAGATTAATCAGTTGGAGTTAAATGAATAGTTTTGCTGGTTAATGTTTTACTATTAACATCTTATTTCCCATTTAGGTCGGACTGAACAAGGATAAACTTGGTTCCTTAAACGTTGGTGGAACAGGTTCCGATGCCTACAGCTTCGCTTCAACCAGGAGCAGAGAAGACCAGCACATTTTCAGCCTTCACTACATGTACTGCACCCACTACTCGTAAGCTGACGGCCTTTCTATTGTGGTTTCATTTACTTTTTTCAAACAGCAAGAAAGTAGCAGAAGTTACAAGTAGAAATTATTTTTCCTATAAATCCTTTAGTTTAAGAACCAATGATCCAATGTTTGTTGCAGAAGCTAAAACTCCCTTCACTGAGCCGTAATGATCCCTGTCACTAACTAAAACCATAAAGTAACAAGTTCTTGATCTGGACTCAATCATGAAGTAAATATACATTTTTTTGTAGATTACAATCCTAGTGTCCTAATTGTTCTTGGAATAAACATAATGTTTATAATAATAATAATAATAAAATGTTAAAATTATGTTTTGAGTCTGACTGTGATTGCGATTGTTGTTGTTTTTTTTCTCAGATACCGAGTGTCAAACAGACCAACCCTGAGCTCTGAGTTCAGGGGGGATTTGGACCAACTGCCACCATACTCCGCTTCAACAAAGGCTGATTACAGGAGAATTATAGAGACATACGGCACACATTACATCAACAAGGTGACAAACACACACACACACACAATCATTCTCTAGTAGAATGATGCTGCAATGACTTTAAATTAAAATAAAATAACCAACTTACTAACTATACTGTTAAGTACGGATGTCCAATATTAACTTTTTGCCGATACTGTCCAAACGCATAATTTCTGAATCCGATACCAACCAACTGATATTATTTATTTATCTGTACAAACCAGTGTATGGGTTGCTGGCACCATCATTCTGCTTCTGAGTATTAAATAGATTATAATTGAATGAGCTGCAATGCTGCCATCTAGTGACTTTCACTTCAATATACAGCCGTTTATCACCAAAACTATTTTTAGGTCACACATCTTAAAAAACCCAGGTCCGATATTATCGGACATCCCTACTATTAGCCATCAGGACTGTAGTGTTAACTTATATTTACGACATCATTGGACACTATCAGAAAAACTAGTCATATTTGCCAGTTAAAATTAAATGAAACAAACAAATGTCTGGTTGTTGTTGAGTGGGTGTGGCAGCTCTCTGGTTTTCAGCAGCTAAAGCATGTGACTTATATCCTTTGTGTTGCAGTAGAATCATTATTGCAATCTGCATTTTTTTTTTGTATTTAGTGATGAGGACTAAAAGTTGATGTTAAATCTCTGTAGGTTTGGCTTGGAGGACGATACAGAAGGCTGTCAGCTATCCGTACATGTTTGTCCAAATTGAATGGCTTGTCAACTTATCAGGTAAACAGGTCACAAATGTTGTATTTACATTTTACCTACTGACTTTTAGCTAATATCAACCACTGTCCACTTCTCACCTTTGCAAAGGCACATGACTGCTTGTCTCTGGGAATCAAATTAAGCCTGAAGATAATTCAAGGTTCATCAGAAACACATACCTGCTCCAAGATCTTGGAGAACATGGACACTGCTGCATCATACAGCGCTGGGCTCCACCAGCACGTCACAGAGGTAACAGGAGGAAATGGTTGGCTCGGCGAATTTTCACTCTCTGGTATTGACGCCTCTGGCTATGAAACATGGCTGCGCAGCCTCAAAGATCACCCTGACGTTATTCACTATTCTCTGAGACCACTGTACGAGCTGGCACTATCGTGGTCAACTATGATTGGACTGTATTTGGCCACACATGATTATCTCAAAGAACATGGCGTCAGTTCTGGGACCAGTAATCCAAGATGTAGCGGTCGTCCTAACCTTGATTACAACTGCTGTCCCATCGAGACCCGCAGAGGAAATCTAAGGGTGACCATCGTCCGTGCTTGGGGTCTGAAAGGAGATCCTGTCGGGAAGACAGAGGCGTACGTAGCAAATAAATAGACACAAAGTAGTT